AGTTTTTTATTTTAGAAATCAATTTCCTAATTTGGAAGTTGGTTCCAAATTTGGAAGTAAATAACCTAAAATGAAAATGAGTTTCTTAATTTTGGTAAAAAGTATTTTGAAAAAAAATTTCCTAATGTAGGCCGCCTAAAATTATATAAGATTATTTATTTGGATAGTTTAAATAAATTATTTGGGCTAAAATGGTTTTGGCCTAATAGGTTTAATTAAAAGGCTTAAGATATTTTTGTGGTAGAATAAACATCAACCTTATTGAATAAAGATAAATATTTTAAAGATAAAGATCAAAAAGCCCACATGTAAAATAAATCGTAATCTTTGGAGGATTAAGAAGCAATAACCTAGAGTCCTTAAAGGACTCATTACTGCCCCTCTTTTTGCTTAGAAGATAAAAAAGTCTCTCCTATAAATATATAAGAGAGAGAGGTGCGGCACAAATAAAAAAAAAAAGAGGAAAGAAATTCAAAAAAGAGAGAAAATCTCTCTAGGGTGCATGGTAAAAAGTAAAATAAAAGGAAAAAGTAGTTTTCTCCTAAAACCCTAATATACGCCACTTTTCCTCTTCCTTTAAGGTTGTCGCAAACTTGCTCGAATCAAATTTCTATAGAAAACATTACACGAATAAGAAAACGTGAAGTGGATCAACAATAGAGGTCGGACACTTGATGACTTTTCCGTTAAAGAATTTAAATCTATGCTACAAGAGGTAATTTTTTATTCATTACTTTAATTCATGTATATATAGTTAGTTGATTCAACGACATGATCTTAGCCCTTTAGATGGAGAAATTTTTTTGTTTATTTCGCCCTCTATAGGATGCATGATCCTTCGAAGCTACCAACAACTTCATACATACAAGTGAAAAGTCATTGTTGATTTCAAATCACATCATTAAGAAGCCACCAATAATTTTATCCACATAAATAAGAAACCACCGATAGCTTTGGTTCATAAAAAGCCATTGATAACTTCATCTACACAAGTAAAAGTCACCATCGACTTCAAATTACATCATTAGAAAGTCATCGACAACTTCATCCACATGAGTGGGGAAGTCGCCAACAACTTCCATCCATATCATTAAAACTAACAAACATGCTATGAACAACATATTAAAATCAAACCATATTACAAAGGAAAAATCATCCTTAGATGTGCATATCGAGATCGACACTCATTCCGAATAAACTATTGAAATTTAAAACTCATGCCTAGTACTTCCACCTCTATCACGGAGTAATAAACACCAAACTCATTACTAGGAATGGCAATGGGGTGGGGCAAAGGTAGGGATGGCCCAAGCCCTACGCGAGGTAATATTTCCCATAGCATCTCCGCCCAAATGGGGACGAGGATCCATGCGGGGCATTAGTGCCTCATTTAATTTTTTATTTTCGGCCCATTCCACCTCATTCTACTATCAAATTTCAAACTATAAAAAAATAATAGTTTGTATAAAAAATAAATCCTAAGAGTCGGTAGTCACATATTTTATATAGGATATAATTATAATTTTAGGGATAAAGCAGAGCAAACGGGGTAGGACAGGAAAATATCATCGATACCCCATCCTCATTCAAAATAAATACGAGATGGGGTGCCCTACCTCGTTCCTCGGTCAACTCGGAAATCCCAACGTTGATCAAGGAAGGACGGGCGGGGCAAATTGCCATCCCTACTCATTATTCCTCAAAATATCCGGGGTTTCTAATCGTTTTGGATTCGAAACACAATGATGTATCTTATTCACACTTCAACTTTTATATGCATATCCTAACTTTGCATTCATTCATAATATCGATTTAAATGTAAGTGCGGTGCAAAAGATATTGATAACTTACCTTGTTGGTCAAAGTGCATGAACAATCTCTCTACCAATATCAAATATACTTTTTATGCCAAAGACTAATTTGCCTATATTTCAACTCTCCGATAGAGACAATCTATAATATCAACAAAAGAGAGGGAAACCTAAGCACTCCAAGTTATGATTCTTTCTTCATTTTTAGGGCCACTTTCTTCAATTCTCGATGGACACAATTTGTACTATCAACCGAAGAAGGAAAATTGGCCAAGAGAGAGAGAGACCATGAGCTTGTCTTTTTAGGCTAAAACATCAAGAAAATACTTTTTGTAACTCGCTAGAATATGGGCTACCAAAAACGAGGTCGATGCCCTCGATTACCACTAGAAAAATGAAAAAGGGTTGCTTAGGGCCATATATTATGGACTGATTTTGGATTAGAAGAAGGTTTTTTTTTTTTTCTTAAGCTCTTAGAAAATCTTATAGGTTTGAATGTCTTCTTTCCGTAGGCTTTTGAATCATTATAATCCAATATGCATAGCTCTAGATTTGATCCAAACAATAGGTAGTGTTTTGAATTGTCATAGGACTTGAGTTTCGACCTAACTTTGTGTCTAACTTTGACGACCCAAACTCAAATGGATTTGCATGTTTAAGATCAATTTAGAAATACTAAGATATCTACTTTAAACCCCAAGAAGGTCTTTTTTCTTTACGGATCTCTAAAAAGTAAACTTCTTAATTCTTTCTCTAAAGGTCAATCTACCAATAGTAGGACTCGTCTTGGTTGTCGAGTGGATTTTGAGGTTGCTAGCCATCGCTAAATCGTTAGATAGTGATGGTTTTGGGTGGAGTAACTGTTTGGGTAGCTTAGGAGCTATTGGAAGTTGCGGTAGTAGTGGCTGAATGGAAGAGAGCATGGGAGATATTTTGTGGGTGGGAGATATTTATTAGTTGTTTTGGAAGGGTTTAGTGGTTGTTTTGAGGGTTAGAAGTTGGAGAAAGATCACTAAAAAATGGATAGCAATTGGTGGCTTTAATGGAGAAGAGGATGAGGTGCTTTTGTGGATAGTTTGAAAAAGGTTTTGGGACTATTTGGTAAAAGGTTTTGATTCTTGTCTTCGGGGGTTGTAAAGGAGCTATTATGGTGGGTTTTAGTTGCTATTTTGAGAGCTGAAAGTTGGAGAAGATGGCTAAAAATAGACGAGTAGTAGGCGACTTCCATGGAGGAGAGGAGGAGAGTTCTAGCCGAACACTTTAAAGGAGGTTTGTGGTTGTTTTGTGAGGGTTTTATGGTCAGTCTTAAGGGAGTTTTAGGAGTCTGTCTTAAAGGAGTTTTAGAATTGAAAAATTGTAGCCTCAATGAAGGAGATAGAGGTGTTGGGCAATAAAAAATGGAGAAGAAGTGGAGAGAGGCGGTGGCTTGTAAAGGAGAAAAGACGAAGCTATAAGCTTTTGTTTTTTAGTTATAGAGGCTCTTTCCTTTTGGAAGAAATGGTAAAGAGAGCTCTCTCGCTAGGTTTCTTGTTAGAAAAGAAGATGAATAAATGGTCTCTCCTTCAAAAGAGGGAAGAAGAAGAGTTTTTATAGTAAAGGTTAATTAAGGTTTAGAGAATTGTGACATTAGCCCAATCTTTTTTTTTTTTTTCACATATTTTACAACTAATCTCTTTTTTCTTTCTTTAGAAATCGCCAAACTCAATTACTTTTTTGTTTAGTTTCCAACATTTAATTAATTAGGTCCAAAATTCCCTATTTCAAATTTATTTTTCTCTTTTTTTAATTTTTTTAAACTTCAAAAAATCATGAGATTTCTAAAAAGAATCTCAACCTTAGAATAAAAATTACACAATCAAACAGATTGAACACAATACATTTAATTTTTTTACATTTATGTTTTTTTAAGTAAAATGTGTAAAACAAAATGGTTCAAAATTTGGCACTAACAATTATTTTAAAGGAAAAAAAATTCACATTTCTTGTTTTTATTCTCATCCCTTTCTATAACAATGAAACTGTGTTTAATTTTTATTTTTATTCTCTCTTCATTTTCATCTCCATTTCATTTATTTTTTTTTTCACCAAACATATTACAAAGTGAATAAAATTTTCATTTTCATTCCTAGCATCTCATTCTCTATTACCAAATGTCGTTATTCAAACATGAACCACTTAAAAGAGAACTCAGCAAACATATGACATTCAATTATATACGTGATTCGTATTTTTTAACAAGAAAAGGAAATATAAAATCAATGTACTTGATTTATAAAACCTTATCGGTATACTAACGGTGCAAGTTTTCCGTCTACAATAAGAAATTTGCAGATAAAATGGATGCTCGAGGGAATTGTCCATACCAGAAACCATAATTACAATTACCAGAAACCATAATTACAATTACCAACAAGATACCAAAACTAAATGTTAACAAGAAGTTTGCAATTTGTAACTAATTCTTAAAGAGTTGACAGTATTTAGAACTCATTCTGGTTTTGAAGTAAACGGTTAATACAACTCTGAATTACTAGGAAGCCCCAACAGAACATCAGCAAAACTAAGGGTGTTGCATTACCATACCAAGGGTTTTTCAGTTGTGCAAGAGTCTAGCTTTTTCTGAATGCATCAAGTTTCAAGCCATGTCAATGTTCCCGTGACCAAATATTTACTTGGGAGTTCACCTGCTGTCGGGGAAAGGTATGTAATCTTTCTCCTGTGAAGTTTAGGTGCAGCTAGGGTTAAGACTAAACTAGCATATTAAACAACAAAAGCATCTAGCAGGACAAAAGCTAGACAATCTAACCTTTGAAGATCAATGTCTGTGACGTAGATGAATCCAGCTACATTACTGCATAAAAAAGGGCATAATGTGACCATATCAGCAGGCAAAAAGGAGGAGAGAAGAGTAAATTTATCGGGCAGTCACTAGTTCACACAGTGAATACAGTTGAAAGGTGAAATGTTCCTCATAATTTGGTTCAAGTCTAGCATCATGGAAAATTTATAAACATGGTGAAACTAGGCCAGTTAAAAGGAACAAGGAAATTTTATGTAGGAATTGGGTCTGATATTCCAATTTTTGCAAGGATAACAAATACATAAGATAATGGACCTTTGGCAACCTTTTTTCTTGTAATAAAAAGTCTGAATAACCAAAAAGAAAAGAAAAGAAAGGGAAAAGAACGGTTACCTAGAAACAATTTGATCTGGTTCTTGGGCATATGAAACAGCAAGAACAACATGGAGCAAATCTCGATCAATATTCACAGGTGCAACTCTCAGAGGGTTGGCAACAGGGTCAGCACCAATTGGCAGAGCTGATCTTGGGGCTTGTGGCCCACCACCAATTCGATATACAAACAAATCACTAAAATTTGCAATATTTGAATGAGGAGAGAGATCATTTGCAATGCCATAGAAATATTCCTAAAAGAAGGAGCAGAATACCAGCCTTGTTAATATAGATAGAAAATGGAGTAGCAAAATGGCAACATATAACTGAAGTAGGCAGGTACTAAATAAAAAGAAATATCCCAAATCCTGGAATCAAATAATAATGATTTTTTCATTAAAAAAAAAAGGTGTCCATAAAGACTCTCTTTACCCTAATCCTATAACTTCTGGACTTCTGGCGGAATTTTGAACTCCTGGAAACAACACCACCAGACTTTTGAAGTTTCACGACATCCACATTAGGCTTGCTCCTTAGCACATCCCGGAGCATACTGAAAAGCTTTTCCTGTACAATGATAAAATGGAATGCTGTAGAAATTCAAGTAATGATCCAGGAGCACAGATGAAGTTTGCCAATACCTTTAAAGACTGAATTTCATTCCTAACACAATTACCATTAATAAGTTAATGCATAATTTGGCACTGCTGATCGTAGATTCCAAAAATAAAAATAAAATGTGACAATAAGAACTATAACCATTATGAGTAGATTAAAATGGCAAATGAATCCAAAGCCAAAAACATGAGAATGATTTGCGATCTCTATTTGATAGTGATCATCTACATGGACTTTAAAAGTGCTTGGTTGTGGCATAGCTAGAAATTTGATCATCAATCAACTATCTCATACAAAAAAAGGGAAACGAAGTCAGCAAACAGGAAGATCTAAAATGGAAATTGAAAAGAAAAAGAAAAAAAGAAAAAGAAAAAAACACTGCAGTAAACCATGCTGTTTGGAAATTGGACTGTGTTGAAGCGGAAGTGTGTGTTGACCCTATCTTAGTTAGTACCTGAGATTGCACCTTGCCAAAGTGACCCAGAAAGCAAAAATGCTCAACAAACAGAAGGCAAACAAAAGATTCAGATTAAACAAATGTGAAGACCTCAAAGGAAAGGCATGGTGTGAGAAGCAAAGGATAGCAAACAAGCAACTTATCTGAAATGAAACAAGAAAATGACATGTCTGCTGCTTCAATGGACTAAGTACGGATTTAGAAATGCAATGAGGTAAAAAATAAAACCCCAATAAAGATTCGCAATCTATGAGGTGAGCACCTTCTAGAAGATGGACAGGAGAATTGAAGATCAATACAATCAAATGTTGGACAGAGGAAATGTTCAGCAGACATCACCTTGAATGAATTCGCCCTCAGAAGGGAACCAAAAACAGTCTGCCGGGTGAGAACAACTCAGCAAAATAAGAAAAATTGAATAGGGAGATTTTGCAGCCCATAGAGCAAAAAGGTTTCAAGGAACTAAATATTCATCAAATTCGAGGTATTAGCCACAGTAGAAGCTCTGCAGTATGTCCTTTCTAAAAAGTACAAAATTCGTTTACTCTGCTCAAGAAACAAAGATCTAGATTTATGAAGTACCAAGATGTACTGTATAATTCATACGATAGTTCCTTGTAATAAAATTTCAGCAATTTTTATTAAAAGAAAATTAAAAATAAAAATACAAAAGTCAGAATGCGAGCATAGAATGTGTCTCAATTTTTTACCTTAAAAGATTTTATTCTATCAGAACTACTAATAAATGATACGTTCAATTACAAAATCAGTAAAACAACATTAACATGCCGGAATCAGGAATGCTTTACAAGTGTGCTTATATATATCACTCGGGTCATCATCCAAATTATATGTTAAAAGGAACATGGAAAAGAACATAATGACTATTAATGATTTACCTGACCCAAAACCAAGACCACGTTGGCATTGAATGTATCAATTGCATGAAGAATCAACTGCAGGATAAAAAAGACATGGGAGACTGTTAAACAACAGGCTCCAAGATTATGTTATTAACACTATCATGCTAATATAAAGCATCAACATTTATCCCTACAAAATCTCAACTCCATTACCTCATAGCCTATGCCTTCTACCCATCCCATGGTGTTGATCACCATGCCTGCAGCACGAGATTCAGCATTTCCAGTAAATTGTCTCTCCAATATTTGAGCAAGCTCCTTTACAAGTGCTTTGTACAAGTCTACATTTTGGCTTAACAATAAGAAAAAAAAATTAGTTGAAGTACAGTATGTTTCAGTCTGTATGCAGAGAGTACTTGGCTACACGGTCGTCAAATCTGAACCAAACATCGAACACGTGAAGGCAATCACTGAACCAATAGGTATATGAAGTTGGCACAGAAAAGGAAAATTAAAAAACCTCAAATTGCCACTACACTACAATCTTAATATCAGTGCATTATCTAAAATGGTCAAATATGAGATAGAATACATAAGAGAACATCTTCAAGTTATAAACGTTCATGCCATATGACACTTGCCATTACTTCAAACTATCAATCAAAGACAAAATACAAATAATTTTGAAGGGTTTCTACCTACTACTTTGTTCCTCATACTATCTTGAATCGACAATTGCTCTCTACTCTATTATAACAGCTTTAATGTTAATCACATAATTTGGATTATTGAAAAAATATCACGGTATGTAAGTAGTGATGATACAAAAATATGGGGGATGAATTCTATGGGCTGAAAGCAACAAATATTTGGATCCTAAACTTAGCACAGGTTAAATGATATGTACCAATGAAAACAGGTAAACAAATCCCCAACCAAGGCCAAAATAAGAAAGCATAAAGATATGCAAATCTACACTCTCACTAAGTTCTGGAACATCTCACCACTCACACTAAGAAAAAAAGTCCTCTCTAATATTAACACCAACACCCCACCCCCTCCACCCTCCCAGATGCCTAGCCTCCATCTTTTTGTTTCTGCAACTTTCTTTTTGTGCATTTTCTGCCTTCCTCTTTCCTATCTTCTTTCCTACTCTGTTTTGATCCTGGCATGGGTCTCTTGATCTCTTCAACTAGGTTTCTTATTGCTATGCCAAGGTTTTGAGAATTTGTAGGAAGAAAGCCAGGGGCGCCCATCATGTTCCTGACTTTACTAACAAGCTCTATAATCTAAAATAAATTCACTTTTTCATTTGGCAAATCTTCATATTCTAGAATACTTTCTTCATCTTCCTTCTTTGGTTTACAATTTTGATGTTATTTCACCTCTTCCGAGTCATTTAAACTAACCAACTTGCCCATAAATAACAGCAGCAAATATGCTCTGGTTCAAAAAAATTGAAGCTGCAAGATACTCACCCATATGGGTTTTGACGAACTTTGGCAAGAAAGATGGATTTTAAATTTCCCAGTATAACGCTTTAAGATATTCAAATTAATTAACCAGCCCAGTTCGAGGTCAGTTCACAGATTTTCCAGGCCGGGTTTGGTAAGAGAGTTGGCTATGCTAATTTTGTAATTATGCATTAATCAAGTGAATTATGCAAATAAGATGTGGAATAATAAAAAAAAAAAAAAAAAATGAGCATGCAAAAAATGAGTAACCTGGGAGTTGTGTGGCCATAGAAGTAAACAAGTGGCATTTCAAGCGAAATGCCTTCGACTGGATCAATAGGCAACTCAATAGGAGTGGCAGCAATGCATCCAGGAACAGTTATAGATCCTTGGCCTACATCCAAGTCCACAAAAGTAGGCTTCCAACCTTGTTTAGCTGCCCAACTGAGAAGCATCCTCGACAATGTACTCTTTCCTGAATCTGTAGGTCCAACAACAATCACCCTAGGACCCTGAGACCAAAGAATTCACATATTCAAAAATCAAATAGAGCTTCAAAAACTTAATAATAACAACATGGTAATACACCAACTTTTTTCACATAATTAACAAACAATAATAATAGTACCTGAGAAGACTCAGGCGATGCTTTAGCTTGGTTTCTCCGTCCGTCCAGCACAGCATGCACATTTACATAGCTAACCATAGGAGTCTAATTTTTATTTATTTATTTATTTTATTTTATTTATTATTTTTTTTTTTGAAAAAAAAAACATAAGAATTATTATATCAATAAATTAACAATGTTGATAGAACAGCTTATTATCTAAAATAATAATATAAATAATACAGAAAAGAATTTCACAAAAAGAGGCACCTCATCAGCTGTATAATCTGTCTCGGTAGCACCATTCATCTCAATTGTAGCTCCATACCAAGTAAAAACCTTTTTTTAATAAAAAATAAATTAAAAGCAGCAAATAACATTTATTAATTTTATTTAACATTAAAAAAAAATTGTAATTCGAAAGGAAAATATATTACGGCGAATTTGAAGTGAGGAGGGAAGGTGAGCCAGATTTCAGGGGGAGCTCGGTGCCAAAGATCTCAGCGGTGCCGTTTAGGAGTCTTAAGCGAAGCGGCGTCTCGTTAGCTACTTCGATTCTCAGCTCGCTCTCTTTCTCTAATTTAACTTGTCTTATCGTTGATGCCATGCCTGTACCACCGTATGCCATGTCGCTTCTTCCTCTACTCGACACCTGCTGCTGCTTCTTCTTCTTCTTCTTCTTCTGCAGAAATGGGATTGAAAATTTTTTACAAGGGTTTTGGAAGTGGGATAGGATTCAATTATTTAAAGGGATAACTAGTCCCCACCTTATGTGATGAATCACAAATCAGTCCCTAAAACTTCAAACATTTTCAGAAATCAGTCCCTAAACTCATCCATCCCTCTGCGATGTTATTTAGTGTGAAAATCGGAATAGCCCCCTTGTACGGCTTCTAAAATATGTGAAAACTTTCAGGGTAAATTTTAATTTCCCAGAAGGTTTATATATTTCTTCAATTTCACCTAAAAAATTTTATTTGTTACATATCTGTCATTTTTTGCTCCATTCAGCCTCCATAACTTTCATTTTTGTTCCAACCACCCCCAAGAACTTTCACTTTTGTTCTAATTTTTCCGTCTGCCCATTTTTGTTATGTACATAAATTTCAATTTTATTCTTAAAAATTTATGAAATATCTCTATATTATCCAAAAAAAAAAAAAACATAAACTAAATGAAATTAACAAAAATAGAAAATATGTTAAAGATATGCTTTTTATTAAAACGAACATGATAAAACTTAGAGAGTTAGTTTCTTAAGAAATCTTCAAATCCAACAAACTTCAATTCCCACCTAACAACATCATTTTTTTCCCCCTCTATCAATACTATAATTAAAATTTTTTTAAAAATCAAATTAATTTATATCTTTTTTTATTTTTTATTTTTACTATCAAAACCTTTACCATTTTAATCCATTTCGGCTATCATGTTCCCATTTTTCTTTGATATTATTATCAAATAACATCTTTTAAAATTTGCAAATAATCTCGTGTTACGTGTGTTATGGGTTCATTAGTGTCGGCCTTAACTAAGAAGACTTTATAACAAAAATAAAAAATAAAAAATGATTGGGATGCGTTATGCAAGACAATCAATCACCCAAGCTTGTTGAGAGTCCATTTTTTGTTTGTTTCACCCAAGTTTCGGGAGGAACTCGCAATAATTCTGTTTGGGTCGACTTGTTAGGCTTAGTGCATGCGTTAGGTTTAATAAGATGGGGATTTTTTTCCTTGAATGAATAAATCCAATGAGCTTTTAAGTGAAATCAATCAAGAAGATTTAAAAAGAACCTATTAAAGAATTTGATGGGTTTTGTCCATCTTTTCTATCTAATTTGTTAGATTTGGACCCATGATAAATTTGGATATAACATTTATCCTCTTTCTTTTTATACCTAGAAGTCTTTCCCACATATGGAAAGAAATAATTCTTTTAGCATCTATTCATTCGGTTTCTAAAGCGTGGATACTTTTGGCATTTGTATTCAAGCTTTTTGTTTCTTACTCAATCATACTATAGTAAAGAAAATGGTTAATTTATCCTTCTCACACTACCCATTTACTCGCTACTAATCAATTTTCCCTAATTTCTAGTTCCTCTTCAACTCTTCATCTTCTTGCAAGTCAAATGGCTTAATCCATTTCTACTCCTCTTCCTCTTCCGAATCTAGGGTTAAGGAGAATTGTCTTTCTATGCCGATTATGCATTCTAAGAATGAAAGAGATGAAATTCAAGATGTAGGAGTCGGTGTTACCTTAACGCAATCTTGAAAAGGCAAGGACAAAAGTATATGTTGAGGAAACTTGAGAAGGTATGTTTTATTCCTTCCATATTTCACCTTTTGCTCTTTTTCGAATTATGATTCAAGCTATAGGGATGTTAGGGGTCCTAATTTCTCCAACCAAGTCTAGTATATTGACATTTATCTAGGTTTCTAAGATGAGATTTATGACCTCCGATTGGAAAACCCTAATTGCTTCTACCTCCACTTTTGAGGCTTCTTTTCTATGGATCATACAAAAATCAAGAATGTGATTGCATTTTGTGTATAAGATGGACCTTTTTTGTCTTTTAGGGTAGAGATATGCCCACATCCCGTAAAGGTGTCATTGTTTTATTATTTATTTACATTTTCTTATATTTTCCTTAATATTTCATTATTTTTCACGTTTTGATATTTTCTTGATAGAGACACCATCCTTTATATGCTTACCCTTTAGCTATTTTAGGAGAGGAATTTATTACTCTTTTTACACCCTAGGCTTACGCCCTATGTAGAGAGTTAGGCTCGCTATTATGAAACCAACCTCTAATATGTCATTTATAGGGACTAGTAGAGGTAGGAGTTTTAGTATGTGTAGTCCTATTTTACCTTTGGTCATGACATTTGTACTTATGTCTTTTTTGGCTTAGTTGTAGGCGTGTCCGATCCTCTTACTCTAAGGTCTTTCTTAGAGTCAACAACTTTGGACCTAGGCTCAATTCAATATATTGACTAGCTCCCGGGTTCATTAGAGGTAGAGTTATTACGGGACATTATTGACCACTTTGAAGGTTGGGTTAAGGTCTCTCAAAGACCCTCTTACGTAACTACGAGCAAAGCTTTCTCAATAAAGTTCTAACATTACTCCATCACCTTCCCCTACAGGTATACATTGAGAACTTAACTCCCTTTTATGCATAGGACTCCCAAATTAAAGAAAAAGATCATGAAGCTTGAGTCACGGGTCGTTGTTTGGCATAGACAAATGATGAGTCTACTATCCGAAGAAAGAAAGCTTCACTCTAACAATTGAGGCATGATTCTATAACCTTGTAGGTACAAATGATGGAGGTTTTTTTATTTTTTTATTTTCATCTTTAGTTGATAAGAGATTGATTTTTTTTTTTTTTTTTACTTTTATCCTTGATTTTGTTAAGAACTTTTATTGATCTGCAAATAAGGACGGTGGATGCACCATATTTGCATAATCTTTTTGGAAGTTTGACTATTTATTTTGGATGATTCTAATTTTATTTATATATATTTGATGTTTTTTGTGCTAATCAAGTATTTGAGATTATGACTCAAATTGTGCCCATAAGTTTGGGAATTTTTCTTTGAATATCTCCTTTTTTATTTCCTAAATAGATGGCACATATTGTTTCAAGTATTTTTTTTTCATTAATTGCCCTTTTGTTTAACTCTTTAGAAAATTTTTAGAGTACATATGCATTACCAAAGTCGGTTTTATGTACTTAAAATGGGCCTTCTTACATTATAGGCCATTTGCCTAATTGCCTATCTCTTAGCCTTGATGGTAGGATCACTTTCTATACTAGATCTCAAGGTTGAAACATTTTATCTTTAACCCTTTTTTATTAGACGCTCTTATAATGTTATGTTTTTATGATTGTATACAAGTTAAGGTCTATATCCTATAATGATTTATGTTGTTTAATTCTTCTATCATTACTTAATGGTATTGTATCCCTATAAACTGGTTTTGGTATGCCACCTTTAGATATTTAATATTAATTTCATACGGTAATATAACATCATGACCATATATTAGTGAGTAAAAAAAGTGATGCTAGTTGTTAGTGTAGGTGCTCAAGATCTAACCTATTTGGATGGTTTAAATATTGTATTACTTTATATTTATTAATAAAGAAGTCTTTATATTAATTCATGTTATTTTTAACTTGATTGAATTAGATAGAAGTTCATATGATGTTCATTACTTTAATGATCGATCAATAGATATGAGACGAACACTAATACAATTAAATGGAATTATTAAATATCCTAAGTCACAACATTGTCAAAATTAAACATTGACAACATGTGATAAGACTTGTATGTGCTATACTCTTACTATAAGACAATAATAGGAGATATCAAATCTATTGGCATGGTGATGCCTAAGCAAGTACACGAGTAAATAATATTAGAAAACATATCACTAGACATGACTCACCATGAGAATCATTTGGTATAGTTTATGAAAATCTCATATGAGACGGGCATAAGTAATCATTTGACTTAAAGTTATTATGGTTATTTTATTATAGGATTGGTGTACTTTGACATTCGTTATGATGGACTCGGTAAAGAACCGCATATGAATGATTCATTGGATACATCAATAATCTAAGAAAGATAGATGGATAATTAAGATAGAATATATATTCTTTATATACTAAAGAAATTATCATATTGCACTTCGATAAATGTACGTTCAAGAATATGTGGCCACAATAAAAGTATATCAATAGTGCATGATTGGTTTACTTGAGAGCTAACATATTCAAAAATTGAAGAAAATTTATATGATCATAATTGAACACACACCAAATCTAATTCAAGATCATGTTATGATAAATTAACATGAGGATTGAATTGTATGAAAACATACTTGTGAAAGGTTGTTACGGATTAAGTAATCCTTCTTGATAATTAAGTAGTCATGATGCTTTGCTAGAGACCAATCTTGATTTATGTATACATTGCTAGTATATCTAGAAATGTATTGGGTTAAAGGCATAAGTTTGATATTGACTCGAATAAAGAGAAGTGAAGAATTATGAAAGAAAAATAGAAATTGAAATAATTAATTTCGAGTTTCTTAAGCACTAAAAGAACTTTGGAACTAGTGCTTTAAATTGGATTTCCTATAATCTAGAAAATAGTTTCCTAAATTGAGTTTCTTAAAATATTAGAAAATAGTTTCCTAATTTGGGTTTCCTAATGTGATATAGGTAATGTAGAAGATGGTTTCCTAAATTAGACCTCCTTAAAATACCTAACCAAACTTATTTGTATGGTACATTTAATTGTTGAGTCATTAAGCTAAAGGTTTTCGAGCCAATAGGCTTAAATGAAAGTGTGTAAGGGGTATTTTAAGCGGACGAATATTTTTGAGAACTTCGAAAAAAGTTCATTAAACCTAATATAGGGTTTATAAGTAGAAAAAGATTCATCAAACCATATAACTCATTACAAAAAGAGTTGGTGAAAATTCCCTTCTAGAGAGAGAGGTGCATAATCTTCTTTACGGAAAGAAAATTGCACAATCTTCCTTATACAAAGAATTTAGTACAAGATCTTCATAATAGATAGAATTTAGAGCTAGCATTCTTGAT